TTAAGTTAACCTTAACCTTATTATTGTAACCATATTCACAGTCACTTTCATCACAGACTGGAGTAAGGATAACCCTTGGCCTGCCTGTCCGAGTTTCCACCTTTTTGATTAGCTCTTCCATTCAAATATTAACTTCTAGCAGAAATATAAGAAAATAGCCATCTTGAAAAATTACATAAATTTGAGTCACTGACTAGTGCAGGCTGCAAACACCCAGCCAGGAAAAGATTTGTTTCTGTTTGTACTGGCCTGAGGCTTGGAACTTTAATTTCTCTCCTCTGCCATGCAAATGAACCAGGATAATGTAAAATGGCATAAGCACAAGGATCACATTCAGCTGTAAGACCTAAAGCTCTTGTGGAAATGGAAATCAAACACAACAGACATTTATAAAGTTATTATACACTGCCTGCTCTGTAGCTGATTAACCTGGTCACTTACCCAAGGACAAATAGTTAAACTATTACATAAAGAAAAACTATGACATTAAACACAACTGTTACTTAACGGACTTGCTCCTTCCTTTTGGCTCAAAAAAACTATGCACTTTAAATTTCCAAATAACTATCCTAGTTATTTCCCTGGCACTAAAATAAGAATTTCTTATCATAGCAAGTAAAGAAAAGCTCACTAAAACATATGCTTAACTCAATTTTCATGATCCTTTTTAAAGGACCAATGAATCCACTTGAAATACTAAATTTAAATTCTTCCTTGTAACAACCATGAAGCTCCACAAACCCTTACTCTTCTTATCTCCAATCTCATCAGTATCACTTCATCAGGGTTCTCCAGTTTCCATTCACATCTGTTGCACCAAGTGTACTTTCATATCGTCACACTGGAAAAGTACTCCGTTTTTTCACCCCTCTCTCAGAACAAGTTTCCTTCAAATTCTTCATAATTTTTACTTTATCATAGCTTAAGACTTCTTGCACTTTTAGAGGATTTCATTCATTATCACAGCAGTTACTATTCCTTCTGCCCTACAGAAAAAAAAAGAAACCATTCCAAGAACAGATCCTTCAAATAGTCATTTCTAGATCACAGCAATTTACAAAAGCAACAGTCCCATGATACACTTGCCAAAAGCTGAAATAATTTAATGGAAATGTAAAACAAAAAACATGTGAGACTAGAGAATCCTTATTCCAAAGTCTTAGCTAGTTCTGATAAGATCATTATCCTTGGTGATTTCAACGCCACAGTAGGTAAGAATTTTGAAGCCTGGAAAGGAATATTAGGCAAGCATGGTGTTGGAAACTGCAACAATAATGGTCGACTTCTGCTAGAATTCTGTGCGGAGCAACAGCTCACCGTCACTAACACTATCTTTCAGCAGAAAAACAGTCTGAAGACATCATGGATGCATCCCAGATCCAAACATTGGCACCTCATCGATTATGTCTTGGTGCGACGGAGAGATGTCCGTGATGTCCACCACACCCGTGTGATGCCCAGCGCAGAATGCCAAACAGACCATCGGCTTGTGCGCTGTAAACTTAATCTCAATCTTAAACCCAAACCTAAAAGGGGCAGTATCCCAAGGAGAAGACTCCAAGTTAACAATCTCCAATCAGCCACAGTGAGAAACAAATTCCAGGCTAATCTTCGAACTAGGCTTGATAACCACTCCACAGATTCTACAGATAGCATCCTGCAGTCCTCTGAAGAAACCTTAGGGTTCTCCCCCAAGAAGAACAAGGACTGGTTCGATGAAAACAATCAAGAGATCCCGGAATTGTTGAGGAAGAAGAGAACCACCCACCAAGCATACCTTGCACTGCCTTCCTGTCACGTAAGAAAAACAGCCTTTCACGTTACATGCAGCCAGCTCCAACAGAAACTCCGTGACATCCAGAACAATTGGTGGATCAGTCTAGCTGAAAAAACACAATTACACGCAGATACGGGTGATCACAGAGGATTCTATGAAGCCCTGAAAACAGCATACGGGCCTACATACCAAGCTCAAAGTCCTCTACTCAGCGCTTATGGTCAAACACTTTTGACAGATAAAACCTCCATTCTGAATCAATGGTCTGAACACTTTCAGACTCTTTTCAGCACTAGCCGTGTAGTCCAAGACTCAGCACTTCAGTCCATCACACAACAACCGGTGAAGTATGAACTGGATACTGCCCCCACTTTAGGAGAAACCCTCAAGGCCATACAGCAGGTGAAAATCGGCAAAGCAGATGGGGTTGATGGAATTCCACCTGAAGTCTGGAAACATGGGGGCCTTACACTCCATGCTAAATTTCACGAGTTTGTACTACGCTGTTGGGATCAAGGCAATCTGCCATCAGACCTTCAAGATGCAGTCATCATCACCCTATATAAGAAGAAAGGAATTAAATCAGATTGCTCAAATTACCGTGGCATTACTCTGCTCTCCATTGCTGGCAAAATCTTGGCAAGAATACTCCTGAACAGACTAATACCTGCTATAGCAGAAGGAATTCTACCTGAAAGTCAGTGTGGTTTCAGAGCCAACAGGAGTACCACAGACATGATATTTGTTCTCAGACAACTGCAAGAGAAGTATAGGGAACAGAACAAAGGTCTCTATGTAACCTTTGTTGACCTCACCAAGGCTTTCGATACTGTGAGCAGGAAAGGTCTTTGGCAGATTTTGGAACGCTTAGGTTGTCCCCCCCGGTTGCTCAAAATGATCATCTCACTCCATGAGGATCAGCACAGCCAAGTCAGATATGGTAATGCACTTTCTGAGTCCTTTCTAATAACTAATGGAGTGAAACAAGGCTGCGTTCTTGCACCAACCCTATTCACAGTCTTTTTCAGCATGATGCTCCAAAGGGCCACGGCAGACCTCGAGGATCAGGACGGTATCTACATTCGATACCGTACTGATGGAAGCCTATTGAACCTAAGGCGACTGAAGGCCCACACCAAGATCTTAACCATCTTGTCAGGGAGCTGCTCTATGCTGATGACGCCGCCCTTGTCGCCCACACAGAAGCAGCTCTGCAGCGTTTAACATCCTGCTTTGCAGACGCTGCTGAGCTCTTTAGGTTGGAAGTCAGTTTAAAGAAGACAGAAGTTCTCTATCAACCGGCTCCTCAGGAAGTCTTCCATCATCCCCATATCACCACTGGCCAATCAGAACTCAAATCAGTCCAGCAGTTTAATTACCTAGGTAGACTCATCTCATCGGATGGTAAGATTGATGGGGAGATAGACAACAGGTTAGCAAAGGCATATAGTATAGTGCTTTTGGAAAGCTTTATAAAAGAGTTTGGAGAAATAAACACTTGAAGAAAAGCACCAAGATCAGTGTTTACAGAGCCATAGTGCTATCTACCCTCTTATATGGTTCTGAATCATGGGTCATCTACTGCCACCACCTGCGTCTCCTAGAACGCTTCCATCAATGCTGCCTTCGTACAATCCTAAACATCCACTGGTCAGATTATGTGACCAATACATCTGTTCTTGAACAAGCAGCAACCACAAGTATTGAAGCCATGTTGCTGAGAACACAGCTGCGCTGGGCAGGGCACGTCTCAAGGATGAAGGACCACCGCCTCCCTAAGATCATGCTTTATGGTGAGTTTGCCACTGGCTGCCGCAAGAGAGGAGCCCCGAAGAGAAGATACAAGGACTCCCTGAAACAACATCTCAGCCTTGGCCATACTGATCAACATAACTGGTCTACTCTGGCCTCAAATCGGGAGGTCTGGAGACACACCATCTATAACACTGCTGATGCTTTTGAGAACACTCGCAGGATCACTCTCGAGAAGAAAAGACAACGCAGAAAGAATCGTCCCCTGCAGGATATACCACCTAAGGAGTCTTTCTGCTGTGCCTTTTGCAACCGGTCGTGCCTATCTCGTATTGACCTTTTTAGCCACCAGTGCGCTTGTAACAAACGTGGGTAGAGCCCTTCCCAAATCTTCGTTCGCGAAGCCTAGCCATGATGATGAGCTAGTTCTCACATCCAGTTGTTCCAGCATCTTCTTCATTATTACAGAGTACATCATGCAATGCATCAATATTGCTGTTTAAATCAAATAAAACTTCTGACGTATCTTCGCTGCTTGGACACGTTTGTTTGCAGGTCTGCTGACAAAGCTGATCTGCAGACTGTATTTTTATAAATGTTGGGAAGAGAAAGCACAAACACTGTTTTTTTGAAGGCTTGAGGTGTGTCTGTGAACATCTATTAATGAAGAGGTAATTTATTAATAAAGAGGTAGTCTTTCAAAAGAAAGCTACCAAGTCTCAGTCTAGCCAAAAGTAGGTATTTATCATTAAACAGATTTCACTCAAAATGCCAGGATGGTCAGAAGTTTTACTCTTTCAGGATCTTCAATCTGGCAAAGTAGGCTTCTTAACAATAGCAAGCCATTTGACAAAACCAAGCAACTAAGAGCAAGAAGCAATACTGCAGCATTGGGAAAACACCAACTGCAAGTGTACAGTTAGCTACTCAAGATTTGTATGTTGAATTTTTGGTATTATGTGACTTTCTTTGTATGCAGTTTAGGACAGAAAAATCTGTAAAATTTTTCAACTGTCACTGTATGTCAGTGTAGCCCTCACCCTTTCCTTTACAGCAAATGTACAACTTCCAGACAAGAACCACTTTTCTACGAACACATAAAACCTTATTGACCATAGTCAGAATATACAGTGTTCTCCCAAGCAAGAGTGTACATAAGAGAAAGGGGAAAAGAGAGAAAAGAACGGTCTCTTGCTAATGTTCTTTCAGCAAAGATTTATAATCCCTTAATGTTGCCAAACAAACCTACTACCTCCAGCCAAAGAGAGCCTAGTGATTGTATACTTGTTTTATTTGTTAATTTTCACTACACACAAGGCTTTAGGCAGTAAAATTTTTCAAAAGCTGAAACCCTCAGCAGTAGAGAAACCACAAGAAATTCAGAGATGTGATTACCTTCTTTCAAGTTAAAAACATTACTTCAGAAACATCAGCATATAAAGTAGGTTGAATTGCTGAGGAATGAACATACCTCAATTTGTCCACCAGTCAACTCTCCAGACGACCTGTTGTCAGCCTGTTTTAAACAAAGGGTTGCTTTAATTAGTGAAATATTACTAACTGACAGGGCAAATTCCAAAAATACTTCACTACAATTAGAAAACTTCCCCCCCATTAAAACAATTTTTAAATAGCATTTAACCCCTACACAGCCACATGGGTAAGCTCTAAGTATATCCATTTCTCCTCTGTACATCAAAAAAATAGTTAAGTGAGCAATAAAAATGTTTACCAAAGCATCTGAAAAAGCTTACTGATATTATTACCAGAGGATTATGGCAACAATTCATTTCAGACCTGTATCAGATCCCACTAGGACTGAAGTTCCTTACAGGGGACAGAGGGGAGGGCTGTGGCATGGGGGGGGGAAGCATAAAGGAAAGCAAAATGCCAGACAACTGTTCAAACCAGTTTTAAGTTCAGGTTAAATTGAATTCACAGCCTATTACTATACTGACTGTAGTTGTCACATTCCCCTAGTTGCAATTAATTTTCCACCTTTTTGCTTTCCAATTATTCTTTTACCACTTTGGGCAACTTAACAGGCCATGGTTCACCATGTGTCCCCAAGACTCTAACCTGTCCCTGCAAAGTCCCCCATACAGCCACTAGCATATTATGCTTATACATCATAGCAACTTGAACTGTGGAAATCAAAATTTACCACTGATAGAACAGGTAGTAAGACATCAATACCAGCGCGTATATTTTTAAACAAAGAAATGCCATTTTGCAACCAAATAAAGGGTAAAGTATTTTTTTTCTTAGAATAAGTGATAAAATCCTTTAAAGTTACGCCAAACCAAACTCTGCAATTCAGTAACCTGAACTACTGTACTCTATACACTCAACTATGACAAATTAATCTCTTCCATGCAAAACATGCACATATACACAAGCTAGTAATTGTATAATACCTATACCACAACATACGGATGCCCTTTTTTGTTCTTACTGCTTGCATGTGCTGCGAGTACAGACAGATGCCTTCAGACTAAATGAAATGTCTTGTCATAATGACACTTTGCAGAATATTTATTATCTTTCTATTACTCTGCCTCTTGGAGGATGGCTGTGTTTAACTCTCTCTCTGAGACTGAATGTAGTCATATGAGTGTGCTCTGTGAAGAGGAGAAAACCCCTTATAGACTTCTTGGTTTATGTGAGATTCTCCAACATCAGGCTCCCTGAACTGAGATTAAGATTTCATTCATGCAACTTGGTGCTCCGGTGAGTTCAGCCTCAGGAAAGCAAGGTGATCCTCCAAGGTCATCTAAGTGAAAATTTCTAAAAGAATCTGACTACCTGGAAGTTTTACACTTACAGGTGTCCAACTCATGTTATCATTTCCAAGCATTACAGCCAATATGAGATTGTACAGCTCATAATCTACTGAAGTGATTACTTAAATTGTGATCTATGCTAAGAGTTCCTCTTTACCATTGACTGATCTAAATCCAGAAGCAAATACTTCCACAGAGACAGCAACATACCATCATCCTCCAAGGACCTCCAAAGGTCCTCATATAATAAGTCCCTATATCTAACGCAATTCTCAAAAAAAAAATAGTTTTTGCAGGTATTGCACAGTTAATTTTCTTTAACTCACTCAACTTTCTTTAGTCATCAGCTTCTTTTCTTCAAGAAACATTTGTTAAGAAAGCAATTCTATTACTAGAAACCACTTCTGGCACCTGCAAAATGGTAGGATTTGCCAATTTTTTAGGTTTTTTTTTTTAATACTTCCTTATCACCCACGATTTCTCCAACATAAAAAAACACCCCATGTTTTACTTGGTTTACTCAAATTTAACCTCGAATACCCAATCTCCTACTAGCAGAGGCCCAGCCACCAGCAGCTGACAAGAAGTCTCCATGAGTTCAGGAGGATTCAATTGCCCCCAGTTTCTTTTAAAAAGGCCTCTGTGATGTGGGTGAGAAGAGTCCTTATATTGTTTCCTTAGGACCCCAAAGCAGTCAGAATGAGCCAGCAACCACAAAAGCATCAAGGCAACTCATCTAATCAAACTGAGGACAGACTGCAGTTATTCATCCTAACACGTGGCCATTGTGAAACACATTTCTGAACAAAATTCTGTGAGATCTTAAAATAACCAAAGAGAGATCTGCAACACAGGAAAAAATTCCACTAAGTAAATACTAGAAGTTTATGCCAGCACTGACTTTTATGTGCTTCTAGTTTCTATCTTAATCAAGAAATAAAATCTTCATTTGTGGCATGATATACCCTCACAGAGATTAAAAGTTTCAAATGACATATATGCACACACAAACCTTTACAAAGCCTAGTCTGGGGTGGGAAAAGAGGTAGGAGATTAACTACCTCTGTAACCTGACGAGTGCTATCTAACCTGCAGGATAAGCACTCAGGTAGAATTCTGAGAAAATACAGTGTGAAGAAAATCCTGATACTTTTGGAAAATCTTGACTTAAAAGAGCAACTTGAGAGAAGGCAGGGCAATACAAGTTCAACAGAAAACTATTTCAATAATCTTTAAGAAGTTTGGTTGAGAAACAGATATTTGATATCACCAAACGCCTGTTTACTTTCAGGTTACTTAAATATATATAATCATATACCTAAATATATGTAATCATTTCTATTCATATTTAAGATGTCTGAAGTTGAAATAAACAAGAAGAACTAATTATGTTCATAAGAGTGAACTATTGTGGATTGACAATAAAGAAAATTTTCCTAAACTCACTGACATTTCTATGTAGTACCCACATCCTACAGACAACCACAACATTATACACTGAGACGCATGGGAGGCTTTGAGTGATACTCAAGTTTTACTTCTCTCATCCTGCAGAATACATGATGTTATTCTGAATGCAAACTCAGATGGATTAGTGTCAATTTCTTCAAATATCATAGATTAGGAGTTGCGCAGCCTTGCTTCCCATCTCTTTTTTCTTCCTTCCCACCTGCTTTTTCTTGCATTCCCTCTATTTAGTTTGGAACTCCATCTCAGCAGACAGAGAAATGTCTTCCTGCAGGCAAGAACGAACAATCTCTCTCCAGTTACAGAGTCATGTGTGGGCTATGAGCAATTCTGCAAACATAAAAGGAAGGAGGGAATTTGCTACCCATACATTAACAAGCTAAAACAAGCCAACCTGCAGATGGAAAGGATCAAAGCTCCTGTTTAAGTCACCTTAAAATTAATTCCCTCCAGGAATGTTCACCACCTCCCCCCATTCACACTATGTCCCCCCAGTCCCTCCCAGAGCAAAAAGTCAAACTCTTTTAAACTAATATGATACTCCCCAGAATACATGCATCCTTCATTTCTCTTTGAAGGACTATGTTCCTCCCTCTTCTCTCTCTATCCCCAGATATGTACAAGCAGATAGCTGACAGTTTTTTCCCTGTTGTCTATCAAACACAACATTATGCTTCAACAAAACGATTCAATGCAGGTTCAGGTTGGAAATGGCACCTGCATCACAAAAGAGTCATTTTTCATATGTCTGTCCTTTCCCAATGCTAAAATAGCAAAAGCAATATTTATCATTTGTAACACAGATTCTTTGGAGTAAATTTGCTTTATAAAAAGGAAAAAGTGAAAAAGTGAGAAGCTCAATATATTAGGAAAAGCAAATATACAGATTAAGAGAGGTAGTTCTTCTAGTATTTCCACAATTTTATTCACACTTGAGCTGCCGCTGCTCAAGTGCATTTTACACAATACCTTAAATGTCAAGACCTCCTACATCTTTCTCTTAGGCAAGCTGAAAACTATCATGATTTAGAGAAGGCCTGAAAAAGATTCTTGTTCTGCTGAACTATGGACAAAAAAGCTACTTCTTCCAAAAAAGTCTAGTTGCTAACATGAATAACCCAGTTTCATTCCTACAGAAGCATCAAAAATCCCATTTTTCACAAAAAGTGTTAAAACAGGATACTAGCTGCTGTGGTTGGTTATAGTAATACCAAATCAAATTCTCACCACATCGGGACGCAGGCTGGATTAAGGAAGCAATGGCTCCTGTGAGTTTACAAGCAAACCTATCCTGCTATCACCCATGTTACATCCATCAGCTTCACTATACTGAAGAGTGTGTAATTCAGAAAATCACCGCATTTCTTCATTAACTAATTGAAACACCTGAAATACTTCATTATATCAGCCATATCACACTGAAGTTGTACTCAGCCTTCATCTGAGCACAACACTTTCAGAAAGTGCAGGAGAACTTCAGTCTGAATACAGCAAGTCCATTACTTGAACTGAAATTCCCAAATCTATTACCACATACAGCAGATTTCATGGCCTTAGTAAACAGACAGAACTGGTGCCCAATTTGGTGTCATTAAGAAATAAATGGAGCAAGCTCACCACTCTTGAGAACTATCAAAACATAGTTCATGACTCACAGGAAAACCTTGATTTGCTCTGCATACATGCTTCATCTCTCATACCACTTCAAGTATAATGAAGTGAAAAATCATGCCTGCTTGAACATTCCAACTGTTGTGAAATGTTTTTCCTTCTCAGCTCTATGGGTCTTTGGAACACTATAACTAACTATAATAGCATCTACATGGGTAAGCCAAAGCAAGTGAACTGAACTACCCAAAAATGTTAATACAGCCAATGCTCCCTCTACACACACTGTAAGAGAAGCGTCTTTCTTCCACAGCAACAACACCCATAGTCCTGCTCTAAGCACCAGATGCACAATTCCACCTAGTTAAGCAACATCAGACATCACCGTGCACATGACTCCTGAGAAACTGAAGTTGCTTTGCAAGAGGTAGGAACAATTATTGCATCCCAAAAGACAGAAAATGCATTCGACTCCCTCCCTGCATATCATTCTCTCTCCCTGCATATCAGTTTACATTTCAAGCTATGTTACTGATGATTATATCAGTATGAGTCAGATACAGTGAGAACATGCGACAGTAAAGTCTGCTTTGCTTGAATTTCAGTCCTGTACTCCACATATTAGTCACCACATTCTTTAAAAACAAAAAAAAACCAA